AAACAGGCCACTCGCCAAACATTTCTCTTTTTACACTTCCCAAACTACGAACATTGTACTCGGCGCATCTTATATTTCTCAAACAGTTCTTCGTTCGAATTTTGAATGTAAACGACTTTTATTTAATTTTATACAGCAGGAGGCTCCATTTCCAAAACTATACGCAAGTGACGCCGTTGATTGAAGCAAAACCCATTTCACATTGACGTTCATGGACCAACTACTGCCGCATAACTTTTCCATCAACGGCGAGCATGATACCCATGTTTGCGTTACGTACATAACCCCGATGGCCGCATTCCGAGATTGAACATTATTTGGAAGCAGGGGCTTAGGTGGGGTGAGCAAAATGTCAGGAGGGCTGAATGGCGGCTGTTGCAAAGGGTGGAAGGGCCTGGAAGCGAGGCGAGGGAAGAGTGGTGACGGCCTGGCGACACATGAGTTGCACTGACGGCGCTGGATGTGGAATGAGAGAGGGTACTGTGGCGAGGGAGCGATTGGGTGGTGGGGGCAGGGTGACTGCTGAGGACGAGTGTGTGAATGGCGGTGGGAGCGCGGAGGGCGCCGTGGGAGGTGTGGGAGGAGGGACAGGTAGCCGGCATAGCCAATGGGAGAGGGTGTGGTGTGTGCAGGGACGGAAGGAGCGGGGACTGCGGCGGAAGCTCGAATTCAGCCGCTTCCTGGAGGAGAATTCTAGCGACCGGCTGCTCTGATCGGTAGTTTTCCGTGGTTTCTCCTATCAACACCTGGCGAATGCCGAAACAGTACCTAACAAAATGGCCACGGACAGCGCGTGATCATTCCTTCCTCTACCTTGTCTTACCCTCACCCCTACATACACACACTCAAATTTATTTTATTTATTTAATAGGTAATTATTACAGACAAAATTAGCTTACTTGATCCTATGTGGCTAGGCCGAAGGCCTTTAAGCCATTACAATACCTACATCCTTTCGCGTTCTAATCTTTCGAATTCTGGTATTCACCCCAAATGGTCTCTCCATAGCATCAAAGCCGCGGGAAAGAGACCATAAGGTACGGCTCAGGAAAAAACCCCTGAAGGGGGAAAAACCTGCCGTCAGAAGCCGAGTACATTCTAATCTATCCGACGTTTATTTTAGCTATATTATTTTCTGGCGCGGGCGTCCCGCCGTCTCCTTCCAGTGCTTGGCCTCCTCAGCACCTGAAATCAAACAGCGCCACAGAAGATCGTCCGCACCAACGCCTCTGCCCTTATATTTTCGCTCTCCCCTTACCTTCCCCCCCTAATGTGCTTATTACTATGCCAGTTTTATTATATTTTTTATATTAACATTTTACTTACCAATTAACTATGACTTATGACTTATTTCTTAACTGTTTACTTACTTAACATAAAATTACTGATTAACTTACATATTGTTAGCTTATTGACTTATTTATTTCTCTCCAGTCTAGGCTCCGCTCAAGCTAACCGGTGCTGTTTTCCCACTCCCTAATTTCAGTTTCCCTAATGGTCCGAACCTTTCCTAAAAATGTTCCTAATTCTTCCATGAATTTAGACCTTTTATCACCTAAAATGTTTTGGGCGAGCGTTACGTTCCTGTTTAGAAAGTAGTAATTTCCCATTCCCATCCATTTTTTTCTCCATGTTTCGGTTGCACAGCAAATTAAGAGTATGTGGATCCAGTCTTCCCTATCACCGCAAAGCACACAGATGCCATTACCACTTACGTCCTTTAGTCTACGCTGCATCCATCCCCCACACTCAAATGCAATATACTACCACACATGCCGGGAGGCCAGTCGGGAACTTAGAGCTTGTCCCCGCTGGGGCGGTGCCTAGCTGGTTGAGAAAAACCCTTTAGCTGGTAAGTCGGCGCCGAATCTTACCATCCAGCGGGGGAAGATCACCACCTCCTCTCGATAAAAATGCACTACACTTACGGGACTGTTGACCTTAGCAGTTGACGAGCTTGGAATCACTGATCAATCAATCAATCAAGCGGCGGAAGCTCCGTATGTGTGAAGAGAGGTGACGGACATAGCATGGGATGTTGGTGGAGCGGGTGATACATATTGGCAGTGGTGCGTTGTAATTTTGAGGGCTGTGACGGGAGCGATGGCGAGAGCGAACACCGAATAAAGCGTACAGAGGAGAGGGCAAGGCGGCTGGGGGAGGTAGGCACAGCTTTGGTGGCATTTGGCTGTGCTGCGGACATGCGCCGAATGTAGTTAGTAAAGCGGACAATAAACCTTATCTGAATCTAAAATGCAAAACCCTGGTCGATGCCGAGGGCGCAGCGGAGGGTTGTCAGGAAAGCACAACAGTCACGAGGGTTACAGGGAAGCCGTTCAGCCTTTCCATTCCATTTGGTGTCATCCGGCAACGAAAAATTTGAGTTACTTCGCCGAACGCAGTTTTGCTTAAATTTTCCAGAGCATTGAAGATAATATTAAACAAAATATAAGTAAAATTATTGTAAACCATTAGAAAGTTGTAGTTTCGACTATAAAAAGTTGTCCATAAAACACAAAATGACAAAATATGACATACTAAAACTACATAAAAGGATAGAAGGATTCATTAATTTGATGCATTTTGCGTTATGACAGTGCTAAGTAAGATCCTTTGCGGGGTACGATTAAAGTAGGTAAACTATTTAAACTTAAAAGAACATCATTAAACTTCCTAGAATATCGATATATTGACCCTATCAATAATACATACGTTCCCTCCGGTATTGTGAATAATCAGACCTATCATATCGAAAAAAAATTCAAAACCTCTACAATTTTACCAAACACCTCTACAAAACTAAAAGTGCTACAAAACAGTTCGGACTTTATCGTGTAAGTTAGTTTCCTGTTCTCGTGAATCGTCGCTAGCATTACGGTTTCTTGCCATTCAACATCTTTCCTTAGCATATGGTATACCATACAAACATATATTATAGAGCTTCAGAAATAAGATAGTAACTAAGTCCCAAGGATAAAAAGTTACTAGATGCTACAACACTGTGTACAAATGTATGGGGGTACACTAAAATATATTAACATAACTGTGACAGTAAATTTGAAAGTATATTTAAAGTAGTAACAGACTTAAAGACGGGAAAAGAGGAAAATAGTTTTTATTTTTTTAACTACAGTCCAACAATCAAAAATATTTGAAACAACACAACTAATGGTGTTTAGAGAGGACGTTTTGAGTCTTTCCGTGTCTATTTGAGGTTTTTAAGAGACATTCAATATTATTATTATTATTTTCCAAAATACTTTTTTTGCGTTTGAACTTAGCCCCGAGATTACACAAAAAAATGTGTTTCTAATTGTAAACATTATTTTCTTATTTTTCATATTTTTTTCAATTAGAGAAAATAATGTAAAGTTGACGCAAAAATACAAATTACGTTTTTGGCTGTAGAGAGGTAATAATGTTAGGAGGGCGGCTAAAAAATCTTTCAAAAATGCTATTTTTATGATGAAGTCATAGTATAACTACTCATATATCATTTGTTTTTAGTAATCTTTCCACCATCTTATCCGGGGGTACCCTTTGCCTGATCGAAACAGCAAAACAAGCTATGGAGTTTCTAAATTTCACTACATTTACCAATTTTTCCTGGAGTTGCCCGAAATAACTTACAAACACTCTCATGTAGTATTTTAAGATACAGAAATGGTTATAAATAATTGCGATTAAATGCTAATGTTTTTATTGTTACTAAGGGCAAACTCACGCGTGTGTTGGTAGGAATGACAGTTTACGTAAAGCCAAGGAACACGATTTATAAACATTACATAAATTATAGTACTTTTCGTTTGCAATTTTAAAAACACCCTCTCAGATGTATTATTCTAAATGAAGAAATGTATGAAAATGAGAATCTGTACTGCATGACTATTCTAATTATTCTGAAACTTTTATTACTTGCAGAGATATTATATTTCTTATTTATATAATTGATTGGCTAATATGTAACTTTTGTTGAAAGTGAAGAACTGAGTGCGCATGAAAACAGAAATTAACTCAAAGGTTAACCTTATTTGATGTAATTAAGATGTTCTCATTGCTATAAAGTTTTAGGTTTTTAAAAGCTAAATCTTTGTATTAAATATGACGTTTATTTACAAACAAAATACAAATTTACTGCGTAAAGTATTATATACTTTTATTAAATCATGGAATACCCCTAACAATAATATTTGTAAAGCATTAAAACCTGACAGAATATTTATGTATCTCGCGAGAAATGTACACAAACAAATGGAAACTTCATTATGAAATCTGGAATCACTGAGCTAGAAGAGGGCGCCAGCAATTCCAACACCATGTTCCAATATGGACCAAATTATGTTGTTAAAAAAGTAAAAAGCGTAGTTTTCCCTTGCACATTGTTTGCTCGCTCCGGAAGGAAAGTTCGCAACCGGCTAGGACGCAGCGCGACGGGAGCTCTTAAAGGGGAACGTGTACGGAGCAGAGGAAGGTCTGAGGGCGGCTGCCCGTTTGCTCGCTGCCCCAGACGCACTCACAGGCCCATTTGCTTGCTCCCAACGACCGCCCTTTCTTACCATCCCATTCTGCAACGGCAGTAAGGCTCTAATTGCACGCTCAATGGTGCGTATTAACAGTAATTACATGACTATTCCACAACTTCGCCATCGAATTACTCCGGCCTTGCAGCATTCTCTCGGCGCCTGGAGCTTTTTTCTTGTCATCCATCGGTAGAGAAGCGCATTCCAATAATTCCGACGCATTCTCGAAGTCGGGTATTGTGTTAAAGGGGAAACCGCAGACTGTTATTTCTGAACGTGCTTTTATTTTGTTTGCTTTCCGAAGCGTGTGTTTACGACGGCCTTGTTTTTTCTGCATTTTGTTTTGTTTTTGCAATATTCATGTATTACAGTTGACAATATTTAAGTTCAAGCATTGTTTTAGGCACAAAATTTATGAGCATTATTTGCTATGAACATTTCCATGCACCTTCGTCTTTGTGAAGTCGTTCTCTAAAAAGGATGCTTCAGAAGAAAATATTATTTTCTTGGTTTGTAATCTTCAATGCACTACAAGGATGTTTTGCTCCAGAATGCAAACACGAAATATATTGCAGAGGAAAACTGCTGCACGAGGTGCAAATGAAAGCTATTTTTCCTGATTCTAAAACGTTTGTTGATATGAAACTGAGATACCCTTGGAAGGAAACAGTTGATAAGTTTGAAGATTTGTATAAGCAATCAGGTGGAAAGGTCACCCGTGACAAGGTTGAACAATTCGTGAAAGACAACTTTGAACCTGTCGCTAGTGAGTTTGAGAAATGGAATCCTCCAGACTGGAAACCTGTTCCGAAGTTCTTAAAGAAAATCAAAGACCCCAAACTGTGGGAATTTGCGAAAAAGCTGAATACGATATGGAAATTCTTGGGTCGCAAAATCACAGACGTGGTTCGCGAAAACCAGGAACTGTATTCTATAATTTACATTCCGTACGGAGTGATAATTCCCGGAGGTCGATTCAGAGAAACGTATTACTGGGACTCGTATTGGATCAACCGAGGCCTTATCACTAGCGAGATGTTTTACACCGCTCGAGGCATAATCGCCAACTTCTTGTACATGGTGCGGAACGTGGGGTTGATACCAAATGGCGGTCGCATTTATTACAGTGGCAGATCTCAGCCCCCCATGGTCATCCCAATGGTGCGCAGCTACATAGAAGCCACGAAGGACATTGACTTCCTGCGAGAACACTTGGATACTCTGGAGCAGGTATGTGTATTGTTGGCGGAAAAAATTTTGGAATATGAATGTTACGAAATTTTTCAGAGAAAGTAGTGTTTGCAGAAATATAATAAAGATAAATAATCCACGAATATTTCATATTCGATGGTTCACTAAAGTACTAGGTATTACAAAAGGTATCGATCAGCCATTGGAATGGGTTTCAAACCTTCATCTGTCAGTAATTTTTGCCTTCACTCATTCTCAAGATTAAGAATCATTGCTTACAATATTTACTATGTAGATCTCACAAACACACGTATATACTTATAATGAACCTGGCGTCATCGCTTACACACAATTTGCTGCAAATTTTGGGAAGACTCTAACCCCTTTTACAAAAATATGATAATTCAGAGTATTTTAGATAGTAGGATAATAAAAAATATAAACAAATTTTCTAATTGGAAGAAAACGAAGGAATATGAACGGAAAGGTATTGGTGAATATAGTACAAAGGCAGTCGATTTTATTCCGACAATGATTAAAGAATAATGCTCTGAGTTCTTTTTTTGTAAAACTTCCCACGGAGTGCATAGCAGAGTGGCTTCCAAGAACTGAAAGTCTAATAGGCAGGGAGTTTAATTTTCATTGATTCTGATTTTGAAGGGTATTATCACAGTATTTATTGGAAGAAGATTTAAATGTACCCGTAGTGCAGAGGCATGCAACTTCAGACTCTGGCTCAATGACCTTCATTTCGATCCAATTAACGTTTTCGTCCAGTTTCCCCGCGATTAATAGCGGAAATGTTGAGATGGGCCTTTGTCTTGCTTTTGAAAAAAATTCTTCACTATCTATTCTTATTTTCTTGAGCTCTGATAACATTGTTATTGAACTAATCCTTCTCCTTCACCTCGTGGGGTGACCGTAAGTCAATTCCTTCTCATGGGGCACGATGAGGGATACATGTAAGCTATTTGCTGTAGTTTATTTATCGTTGCAAATAGTTTTTATTATACGGTGAATACTTGTTTCTTATTAAGAAATATTAACAAAAACGCTTGTTTGTACCTGTATTCAGAATACAATTAATATGGTATAAGATCTAGGGTAGGGATTCCAGAGCTCAATAAACGTGCACATATTGCACTACTCCCTAATAGTACGTCACACACAGTTTTAAAATGTTTTTGAATAAAATTATTAATATGTTGATAAGTAACACTTAGGGCGGTTCATCCGTGGTGCAATTCCGGGTTCGATTCCCGGTCAGAGCAAAAATTGAGTTTAGCTTTCTTTTAAAATCGTTCTGTAGCTGTGTGACGAAGGAAAGGTCAGGCAGGCGGAGTTTGCTAGTTACGGTGAAGGGAATACGTTATGTTCACCACATGTCTCTCTTAATCCCCAAGAGTGGGAATTGAACTAAGGCCAGGCATGAGGGTACCGCTAGCTAGTCGGCAAAGCCGGACAATCGACCCAAAATGCCAAATTCTGGGCCAATGACCCCTATGTAGACCCCTGACCCCTATTAGATTGGAATAAACTACCTGCAGAAGCACTAGAGGCTCTTCCTTTTAATGTAGCCAAATTTAAAAATATGCTTCATTTCATCTAGATCATCTCGAATAATACTGACTGAGACATTTATCTCTATTATTATTATTATTATTATTATTATTATTATTACTATTATTATTATTACTATTATTATTAGTAATATTATTATTGCTTTTATTATTATTAATACTACTATTACTTTTATTATTATTGTTATAATTATTATCGTCATGGCCCTTATACAGTGAAGTGATGTGAAGTGTAGTTTAGTGGAGGGGAAGGGAGTGTAGTGTAGTGAAGTGTTATGTAAACTAGAAGTGAATTTAGAGTTAGCTAGAAATAAATTGGAACTATTATATCGACCCCTAATTCTAATGGTAAACCCAATTGTAAATGTTGAAAATGTTTAGTAATTCTAATTCTAATTGTTATCATGTTTGCCACCGAGCATTAGCTCGAAGCGAACTTTAATAAATATATCTATCTATCTATGTTGTTCAAGATTTTCGCCTAGTTTTCCTGGTCCTTTTAGTGAATGTTTAGACGGCCTCTAGTTTTGAGAAGGATCTTGGCTGTCCGGGTAACGCCGCATCGAGGGCTGTGTTGCCGACGTTTCGACCATCTGCCCTGAGGAAGACCACGATAAGATGGTCGAAACGTTGGCATCACAGCGTTGCACGCGGCGCCACCCGGACAGCCAAGATCGTTCACATGACTCCGGCCGTGGAAGCCTACGACTTCAGAATACAAGTAACTTCACTATCTGTGCAGGTCGTCTAGAGTTCTGAGAGAAATTTAGTTGTTCAATAAAATCTTTTTCCATGTTCTCGCGGCAGGAAGTTGTTAACTTCAGGAACGGCACGATGAGGAATAATTCCAAAATATAGGTGTCCCATCAACTATGGGCCACCCCATAACTTCTAAACGATTCACGATATCAAAGGGCTGTTTTCACTCCACAATGCGTAATAATGAGATAAGTAATATGCCATAGAAAAATTGTCTGCAATATTTTTAGTTTTTGAAGAACTTAATAATATTTGATTTTTTAAATGGAACTATATGTTTTTCTCGCCAGCAATGGATAGATCCTAAAAAGAGGAATACAATTATGCATCATGTGATAGTATTTTGATAGTAACCTTGTACAAAATTAGAGTTTTTGACCTGTGATTTTAAATTAAACTGACACTATTTCTTGTAGCAGCGTTTCTACCCTTGCTTCTGGAAAACTTGGTCTTCGCGGCGCCAACACTGTTACGGAGAAAAGGGAGACTGAGCTGAGCAGTATGGCAATGGGCGATAGAGGGGAAACTAAAGCAATCCATGATTTTGTCACGACTGACACAGCAACAAACATAAGTATTAACGATGAGAATGAGTTTTTTTCCATCGATGCATCAGAATTCAACTTCCGTTATTGTTATGTTTGAAAATAACCTTTGCTACCAATTTCTTACACTACCAATTTTTTTATATCGTTCATTTAAAGGATCGATGCTTTGGAATTTCAGTCAATGAAAGAAATGATCAATTCTGATGAATAAATGGAAAAATATTTCATTCTCATCGTTAAATTTGATACTTGTTCATGCATCCTTCTCGTAAAAGCTATTTGCGCTGCCGCCCCTCTCTGTCTCCGCTCTCCCGTAAGTATCGGTGCTGCGAACCGAATGCCACCTTCCCCAAAGGCAACGGGTAAAGGTTGCAGGCTGCTACAGGAAATATTGCCTGTTTAATTTAGAATCACATGTCAGAATGTCTAATTTTGTACTAAAATTACTATCAAAATACTAACATATTTGTATATATCATTGTATTCATCTTTTTATGGATACTATCCATTGCTGACGAGAAAACTATATAGTTCCATTTAAAAAATCAAAGATGATTACATTTCTGGAAAACTAAAAATATTACAGACAATATCTTTACGACATATCACTAGCACCATAATTCCTCATTGTTGAGTGAAAACTACACTTCCACATCGTGAACCGTTTATAAGTTATGGGGGTGGCCCATAGTTGGAGGGACACTCTGTATAGCTGATTTGCCTTTGTAAGTAGTTTAAATTACATCGGAGAGAATATTTATTATCAATTGTTGCCGAAATTGCTCATTTTCTTATGTATTCAGAATTCAATTTGTATGCTGGTTAGGATAGTGATCTCTGAATTTAACAAAACGCACAGAACACATTTCTCCCCATAGTATGTCACACAGTTTTTTATTTGTTTTTGACTTTAAATAAAGTAATAAACGCCGTTCTGGATAGCCGAGTTGTCTAAGAGGATGTACCAACTCAGCGCTCCGGTCTGAAAGGTTGGGGGTTCAAGTTACGCTTTGGAAATGTTTTTTGTGCATTTTCTCTCATGTATGTGTTGGCACGGAGAGCCTAGAGTTCAGATCAGAGAAGCCCGCAAGTGTGTTGGTGTCGAATACGCGTCCCATCAGGACGTAAAGGGTAACCGGCCATTTGCTGACTAAAAACAAGAAAATAAATAAATAAATAAATAAATAAATAAATAAATAAATAAATAAATAAATAAATAAATAAATAAATAACTTAATTAATTCACGAAATGCGTCGACAAGGAGTTCCAGTTCTGGATGAAGCACCGCACGGTGAACGTGACGGTGCGCGGCGTGACGTACCGCCTGGCGCGCTACTACGAGGACAGCATGGGCCCGCGGCCGGAGTCGTACCGCGAGGACATCCACCTGGGCCAGGTGTTCCCGGACGCCGCCACGCGCCAGCACTTCTACTGCGAGATCAAGGCGGCCGCCGAGTCGGGCCACGACTTCACCAGCCGCTGGTTCATCAACGACCGCGGCGTCAACAAGGGCGACCTCTCCAACACCAAGGTGACTTGTCGCGCTCGCCACGCGGACCAACACACTTACTAACAAAAGACGTATTTTGATTTACGGTAATGTGTTCTTTTGTGTCATTCGCGATCCTTCTATGTGGATGAGGAGTACGTCAATAACTTGGAAAAGGTTTGAGAACTCGGGATTAGTCTTGTTCCGAGTTGAAAGTGACCGGGAAATAGCGCTCTTCGTTTTGTAAAAAATAACGTGATAATTAGCCGTGGCTATTACTTTGAAATTCAGAAAATTCTTTGCAGTTCTTCGGAGCGTTAGTAAAGTAGAGTTCTTTATATGACATTTTCTAAGATAAATATTGTTTTTTATTGATTTTTGGTCAGTTGTAGGAAGAAATTAATTTCTACATTGTTTGTTAGTTGGTGGGCCTTTTTTGGGCCTTCAGAGCCTGCAAAATTTATTATATTGTGAGTTAAAGAAGTCTGTTTTTGTTTGTTTTTTATTTTCTTCTATACACTAATATAATTCACAATATATAACCAATTCATAATATATTAACATTAATTTTATCTTCAACGGTAAATTTTACTTCCTTTCAACATAAATGTTTGCATAAATTAGTAGAATATAATACTATATAATTAATACAATATAATACCAGTACAATTAATACAATGTAATGAAATCAACTATAAATATATTATATTATTTAAATATATAATCTATAGTGTAAATTTATATTATATAGTGTAAATATATGTGTGTGTTTGTGTTTGGTAAATTCTATAGTCTATTCACTTGCCATCTTCTCCTAACCTCACAATGCAATGAAGATCTCAACCTTTTCTTTTAATCTAAACCTTCATGTATTGTGGATCATGAATGTGGATCAAAGGAAACAGGAAAGAAAACAAAAGCAAACAAAGAAAAAAACCCTTTGTAACTTAAAATACAATAAATTTCCAGCCCTGATGAAGGCCCAATAAAGGTCCGAATCGTCGACAACTAACCAACGAAGAAAGTAGAATTTCTGTCTACAACTGACCAGAACTAACAATAAAACAACAATATTCATTCTTTAGAGGTCAAGACATATTGTCTACATCTTTCCAAGCGCGTGCGAATACAAGAGCGTTATCGATTAGTGTCTACACAAAGCCACCCCAGGCTTCTTGTCGCGCCTGCGATGGCCAACTCGCGTCTTGTGGCGGTTGGCAGACGCGCTTCATCGTGCCCGTGGAGCTGAACGCGGTCATCTACTGGAACGCGAGCATCCTGTCACGCCTCGCCAAGGAGATGGGGCTGCGCAAGAAGGCGTCCAAGTACTCGGACATCGCCAAGGAGTGGCTGCTGGCCGTGGACAAGGTAAACTGCTTGCGGCTGCTTGGCTCTCCTCTTGATGTACAGGTGTTCCGCCAATTCCGCGACGCGATTACTACTAGAAATCTGGCACCGCTTTGGACCGGCTGCTTCTTCAAAGTGTGCTTCGATTGAGAGCCTGAGAGAGAAGGGTTGAATTTTGTTTGAAACCACAACCATTACAAAGATTTTCGACATTCACAGGATCTCGACGAACTGTAGAGAAGTTTGGGAATTACAAATTTTCTATGTACCTCCATAACTCCTTAGCTCTTCACAATTTCGTATTTTTCGTTGTATTTGTTAATTTGCTTCCTATCTGTCCTTAAAATGAATTATTGATTTATGTTTGAGATTAATTAAGGGATAAACTATTTCTGTTAATTTGCAAGCTGTTACCAAGATAACAAGGACATTGTGTAAACATAACAGAGCGTAACACCAAAATAATTGAACCGGAAAGTCAAATCTGGAACACGTATATTCTTGCGGTAGTGAAGGATTTTACGGTTGTTCAACTGATTAAAGGTTATGGTGTTCTTTAATTTCACTTGGAAAGTTATGTTCTGGTGTTTTATTTATTGAATTTTGTATTTCATAGAGGGCTCTTGATTCAGATTTGCATAGAATCTTCAAGGTGGTTGGCATAATCCCACAGGTGGATTCCATTGACCCACACCAGACAGATTATTGCTTCGAAGCGGATTAATTTGTTTTTCAGGGTTAAGTGTGACCGGTGGTTGATTCACCAGACGATGTGAGAAAATGTTTAACATTGTTTTCTTTATTATTGGTATGGTAGTTTTCTACATTAACGTTAATCGAGATGTAATACTAGTGTTGTTTGTTAAAATAAATTCAGTTTCATTTATTATTTCTTCCAAATGTGAAAATTTTGTTTGGATATTGGGGCATTTGATTGCGTTTATTAAACGGACAGTATTTCTTGTAGCAGAGATTCAACCCTTTCCTGTGGATATGTTTGCTTTAGCGACGCAGAGACTGTTACGGGGTGAGGGGGAGACTAAGAGGGGTGGTAAAGAGCAATGCGTAACACATAGTCTTGTCACGTTGGACACAGGAACAAACATTAATATTACCGACCAGCATGAAGTATTTTTTCCATAGATGCATCAGAATTTAACTTTTCTTCTACGGGTTGATACTCCAAATCATCGATTCTTAGCGTCATAAAACATTGAAATCAGTTCGCGAGCTCTTGGACTCACTCAGTAACATGGATTAAACACATAGTTGATCTTAAGTTACTTGGAGCCACTGAAAATTGGATGAAGTCCCGAAACACGTGTATGGCGGTGTTTTCTTCTATTAAAATTTGTATTGTAATAAAGTACTTTGTGGTTGATACCTTTGTTATCCTTAATTAATAATCATGGATTACTCATACATCTGCTGCCAGCACAGAATTTATTTCCTACTAAATTTAAAAAAATAGTTTTTAATGAGTGGGTAATGTACACGGCCGTTGGTAGTTGCGAGACAGCTGTGTCAGTGTAGTGAGAGAGAAAATCATTGCGCTTGATTTGTTTAAGTTAATTTATATGGAACTGAAGAATACTTTTTCATTCAATTCGATCTGACAGTGAATACGTGTAGGCAAATGCATTCCTTTTCATTTGTATTGCCTTTTCTGAAATGATCAAGGCCGCCATCAACAACTCCTGGGTCGGGTCCTCCTGGTAATAAAGCTGTTCGCTAAAGTGGTCTTAATTGAACAAAACAGATCCAAATCAGAATTTTGAAGCGCCTCTTTTCCACGCTACCAAAGTTCTAGCAACTGATGCGAACCGTCATGCTCCTCAGACATTGGAATTCTCAATAGTTCCCGTACAAAACTCGCAACAGTGGTGATAATTTCATTGTTGTAGAGATATCGTATTTTAATTCATGATAGAATGTGAAATAAATCTAAATAGATACAGTTTTCCACAAAATATAATCATACATTTTAATAAAGAATGTAGTCCTAGTCAGGTTTCTCCCATCGTCAGTGGCCACAGCAACAACATTGATTTATACACATACTAGAATGTAGAAAGAAAAATATAAATAATGTAAGTAATAAATGAAAATAAATAGAAAGTAAATAAATTTTATAGTTCCTTACTATCCCTTAACAGATAATGTTATCTTTAAATAGCTGCAATCAACTTTCTTGTGTGAACTTTCGGTAATTCGCGATCTCTATCAACAGGAAACGAAAAAAATGTGGATTTTATTTCGAATATCATAGCTTTCGTAACTGCAAAAACACAACATTTCTTACCGTTTTTCACAAATCAAAGACTTTAAATAAATTTCTAACACACGAAAAACACTCTCTTACTCATCCTCAAAGGAACGTTTTTCAACTTTCGTAACCAAAGAATGTGGGGTATATCGTAGTTTGATAATCTCACAGTTAAAATGGTAAACACGCCCTTCAGATAAAAAATATTCGGAATGAATACCATTTTGTAACAGCTATAAAATTTCCTAGTTAGTAGGCTTCATTATTTCTAAGGTACTGGATTCCCACAGTGTCCAAGTGAAGTCAGAGCGATAAGATTTGTGCGAGCACAAGGGCAGGTCTACACCAACCTACATATACACATCAAGGACTGCATTATTAACGCGAAATTTCCAGAAAAAAAACTTGCCGCTCACTTTATGAACGAAGAGGTATCTCAGAGAGATCACCTCACAAACACACCTATAATAATTATAATTATTATTGACATAACATGTTTAGTCATTGGTCAGTTCGTTACGTAGTTCTGTAGTCTTAGAATCTCAACACGATAAATAACTTAGGTCTCTTTAAGATCCGTTGCGTTAGAATAATTTTTTTATCTAGCTCATAACATTTATTATCTACAATTCAACAACATTCATGTTTTGTTTAATAAAAATTCTTTAAAGAAGACGCGCAACTTCTTTTGAATGATGACCTTGCTTCCCCCTCTCTGTCACAATAAACTGTTGAAGACAAAAGTTCGCTGCGTGCACTGATGGCATCATTCCAAACATATCTTCACTGCCGCGAAATAGAAACTATTTTCCATTGAAGATGAGACCTTCTATCCGTGCTTTTCTCCAAAAAATGTAAAGTAATAACCGAAGCAGGAAAAGACCCATCATAGGAAATACCCCAAATTCCTGAGAAAGCTAGAACGCAAATTATTGATAAAGTTGCGAAGGCATGACTGATTATCCGAAGAGTAGCATTGCTTCATAAAATCTAGTGTCCAATTTCGTAACTAATACCCCCACTCTACCCACTTTCTTTAATCCATCGTTGAAGAAACGTTGTGCAAGTAATACGCGCTATATAAATGCACTATTAAATACTACCAGCATTTATAAAACATAAGGTGGATGATATTTTATTTTCTATTCATTTCATGCTTTGCATCTATTTGTAGTATTCATCGTGCCCAGCAACTCCCAAATATTTTCTTGTTTTCTTTGGTTCTTGAAGACAATGTCCTATTTTTATATACTTCCTAGTTTCAGTATAGGCCCTAGAGGATGAGGATGCCTCCTCACCCATTTCCATTAAATGAACTGTGAATGAGTTATGTCAGTATTAACCTGATTACGTAGGAGCGTAGATTTGATACAACTAAAAATAATTACATTAATTTTATATATGTATGTGTTTATTTTTCTAAGGTGCTGTGGCATGAGGATGTGGGCACGTGGCTGGACTATGACCTTCTCAACAAAAGGCGACGTGATTACTTCTACCCTACAAATCTGGCACCGCTTTGGACCGGCTGCTTCTTCAAGGTGTGCTTCGATTGAGAGCCTGAGAGAGGACGATTGAAATTTGTATAAAACTGCAACCATAACAAAGATTTTCGACGTTCATAGGATTTCGAACAACAGTAGATAATTTACCAACTTTCTGTCTATTATATCTTGTATGTGCATTAAAATCAAGCAACATACCCATGAAGATAGGAAAATCTGCAGGTTTAGAATTGATAAATTATTATCACGTATTCAATTTTCACGACAACGGTTGGATAATATTGAAATATTACTTCTTCATATGAGCTCATATTTGAAAATTACAGAATTCTCTTTCTTCGATTTTCGGAATATTTTATTTTTTTCAAATGTCCAAAAAACTCACTAATAGTCGAAAATAATTTTAAAAAATAATAATTATTGATCTTTTGCTACAAATAATTAAATAATATTTTAAATTGAAGTGAATTAACATAGTAAATATATAAAAGAAAATAATTAGGTTACGAATTGGACAAAGACTGTATCAAATAGCTGCGGTTTCTTGATCTCCAAAAGCCAGCAAACACAAATCTTGCTGTAGTTGACAAGAATATTTTCAAGTATAATTTTAATATGAAATTCTGTCATGTCTATTGCTCTCTGTAACAAAATTTTAATGTGGATGGATATTGTGCTATTTGTGTCAGGTTTTTCAAATGAGTAATCTCAAGAGCACTTTTGCTGTACACATCCCAAATGGAATATTTTGTGCAAATTTTTATATTTTTCATTGACAGAAATATTTGCCTCCACCTCATATTGGACACAATGGAAAGGGATATTTTTATGTAGATACTAGTCTAGCTTGTGTGCCTTCGTACGAACGTAATAAATCAAGACATTTTACCATGACGGCATATTTTTCAAGTGTAATGCCACGATTTTCAGGAAAGACAAAGTGCAGCTTTTTTAAACAGAATTATTGCCCTTGAACATAATATTGCATATTAAGTAGTATCTTTATATGTAAATCACTAATAAGGGCCATTGCTTGAAAAGTTTTGAGATTTCTGCTAAACCAAATTACGTGATTGTTTCTTCAAATAAAGGTGTTCGGTCATAGATGTGTTATAACTTGCTCTTATTAATCCGATATATATTAGAAATACTAAATTTTAATCCGAAGCACATCTTAATTACATCTGAAGCACATGAAACAATATGTTTGGGATTTTCGATTTTCGTACCGTGCATATACTTTCCTGTTGTAACTTTTATACTGCTGTTCTTCTTGTCCAATGTAATCGGAAGGATTCAGACAATTAAAAATTAATAGTTTTAGATATCACTCTTTTGGCAGAGTTGTCCGAATTGATACAATTTTCTGATTTGTTTTTATATGAGTAATAGGAGAAACACTTAAATGGAAAAGTTTCGGAACAATATTATGCTTATTTTTATTCATACACAATACTGAAGAAGAAATTTTAAATACATTTATTTATATAATTATGGACATCAAATAGAGAACAACGTTTTAGATAAATACTGTCACTTGTCAGGTATTTCAAATTATACTTTTAAGTAAAAGTGAAACGAGAATAAAGTGTTCATGCATCAAAGTAAATATATAAAATCTATATTTGATACATGGTTATAAGTCATATGTTTACCAAATGGAAAATGACAATATCGTTTTATACTTGGTATTTGCATTTATATCGTTTTTCATTCAGGTGGAAAAACGTCACTTGCTAGAGAGCGAGCAGCTGTTCACACACAAGTAGCCACAGCATATGGTCGCCTGCGGCTGCCCGTGTTTGTTTTGTGAATGTTACTAGGATGAGGAATTAATTTTTGTAAAGGTGAAGTAAACAGTTTTTTTTCGTTCACGGCAGATCGTACAGCTTTTGATAACTTTTAAGCAATTCCGAATTCCAGGAATGTCAAACTAATTTCAATGCTAGATGCGCGATATGTAATTGCAATTTTTCTAATTGAGTTTTTTTGAGTTCTCGATTCATTTAAATATTTAATGAACGCACCATAAAATAATAAAAATATTTTCATAATTTTTTATTATTATTATATTGTAATTAAAATTTTTATCACTTTCCGTTGGGAAATTTGGAAGGAAATTAGGGAGGAGAGGGAAGGCGAGAGCGATAGAGTCGCCACCCGACTTCAAGTTTTTTTTTATAAAAGAACGTTTCAGTTTTGTTGAATTTAAATATATTTTCTGTGTTCTCTTACACTTATGTATATCGTATTCAACTGAAACATTTAAAGACTTTTGTTACAATAGAAAATTAGAAAAAAATATATTTGTAGCATTGATAATGAGAAAAACTGAAGCTTCAAAATAAAATTTTGCAGATGGACAAAAACAAAGTTTGAAGAATTCCATAAATAAAAGTAATAAAAATATCTTTATACACACTTTTCTCCAATACCTATTGAAGTCTCTAAAATTCTTCGGTAACAAAGGAGCTGCAGTTTATCATTACAAACTTCAATAATAAGATGAACAATGTGAACAAAAATAAGAAATGGCTTATTTCTGTATCATTCGGTAGGGGAAGGCTGATGCCTCCCACCAGTCGAGAGTTCAGAGCGTGTCCCTAGTGGGGCTAGCGGGGTTTTCCTCAGCCAGGAATCTCCCACCAGCGGGGGACGGTGAGAGATTTCTGGCTGGAGAAAAACCCGCTAACCGACGATAAGTCGGCACCGGATCTCGCCAACCAGGGGGAAGATCACTGTCACGTTCCGCGATACAAACATGCACTACACTTACGGTATTAATAACCATAGCAGTTTATGTGCCAGGAAATATTAATCAATCAATTTAAAGGCCCCCGCTTCCTGTTGCGCGTGCCACCGCATGCGTTTGTTTCCGGTCGCCGGGCGCGCAGGACCGCGCGGAGGAGCTGGGCGAGAAGGCGCTGGCCTACCTCGACCGCTTCAAGATCCCCACGTTCCCGGGCGGCGTGCCCACCAGCTTCGAGCAGACGGGCCAGCAGTGGGACTACCCGAACGCGTGGCCGCCGCTGCAGGACCTGGTGGTGTCGGCGCTCGAGGCCACGGACGACCCGCGCGCGCAGCGCTTGGCCCGCGAGATGGCGCTGCGCTGGGTGTGGACCAACTACCGCGGATGGGTCGACACCAAGGTCGGCTATTGCGCGCTCCGCAAGTTTAGGCCCGTAGCGCACGAGCGTTGCGTTGACGCGCGTTACTTAAACGCTGACGATGGCAGCTGCCCGCTCGGGTCACTTAACGCGCGTTGTAGATAAACACGTCTCTTGTACGAAACGACATACGAGCGCTCTTGGAGACGTGCGTTGCGCCCACAGCTCAAGCAAGACTCTCATGATACAACGTAAGTCAAGACATCGCGCGTTTTGCAGCTTTCAACGCACGATGCGCGCTAGGCGTCGCGTGTTGCCAACAACACACGTTGCCAAGAGCGTTGTGCGATGTGTGACGTTTGGCATAATATTGCCTGGTAATCCAAGATGAGAGTTAAGTGACTCGCGAGCGCAGGTATTGACGCAGCTGACGTTATTAGCATTTGGTGACGCGCGTCAGCGCAACGCTCGTTTGTGACGGGCCTTAAGGGACTCCTGCCAGCGCGCAGGTTGGCTTGGAAAGTGGTTATACCTGGAAAACTTGCTTTTTAGGACGGGTGGGTGTTCTCACAGCGAATGTGAACGAGATGGTGAAAGGGGATGAAAAAAATCCTAAAAACTTTTTGCAATTAATGTGTTGCTTTAACTTATAGTTCCATATTACAATCAGTCAAAATAGTACCGTGTAATTAAAATTAAATTAATATATTAAAATTTCCCCCTTTTTTCAAATACGTTACATTTAGTTAATTCAGAAAGTTGGCAAAGGTGGAAAAGATGCAAAAAGCTCAATTGAATGGTTTATTTTAGTAACTCGCTAAACGCTAAATTTCTTACTTCCAGAAAACTGAAAAAATTCTCCCAATTTATCTGATTTCAAAATATATTTATTTATTAAAGCCGTTGATACATTAATATTTTTCATATAAACATGCTCTAAACAATGTGTCTATCCTCTTAGAACAATAATACCCCGCTTGTTTTAGATTTTGTCTTTTGACGGGTTTCTGAAATAAACGATTCAATTTTAAGAATGTTTTTAAATAACGGATCGAATGGTAAAGACTAGCTCATGGCCAGTCTAGTCTGATTCCAGACCGACACGAGCCACAATATCTCGTGACGTACGACAGCCTGGCTGTGCGTAACTTGGTTTCGTGAGACTAGGGTATTCAGATTTTTAAAGGTCTGGTGCAAGCAGTGTAAATATTAGAGGATATTCCGATGCCGTATGTGAATGTAGGTTAGTTGTCTCAAGACCAAATACGACGGCAAAAAAGCTTGTCCACTTCATCATAACGCAGTAAGCTAGCAACCAGTTTTACAGACAATCGGCTTAGATACATTTTGCGAGAAAAGTATCATCTGATAAACTATAAGATGTAGATTGTTAGCTCGTTTATTCACCATAATCAACTAATGGGTGCACTCAGGAAATTGTTTTAAATGTAGTTAGATCCCGAGGCTCAATGGAAAGTTCGCACTAGATGAACAGAGAGGGGATAAGATAAAGATAAGATAAATTTTATTTGAACTTCAAATGAGCATAACCCGGTGGCAGTAATTTCATAAATGAGATAATACAACTAACGTGACAATTATATAATAATAACGATAATAATAATAATAATAATAATAATAATAATAATAATAATAATAATAATAATAATGGTACAACAATAATCATAGAAACAATAAAACAGCTGATAGTAAAACAGCTGATATAAACACTGTCAAATTCATAAAACATTAAATTACATTAAGAAAGAGAAACTTCTATAATCTAACTTCTCACTGAATGTTTATTTTTATGTGAATCGTTTATTTGAGAAACCCGATTTATTTAAGACCACACTGCTCTGCACTTCACTTCACACTTCACTTCATTATGACCTTTTAATCACTTCCTTCATTGTTATACAATGCGCGGCACCTCACTTCGCAATATATCACTTACGCGTCGCTCTATAAGCTGTTATTCTCAGTTAAGTTCTTCATTTACTTAGTAATACCCTAAATTAATTTCCTGAATTGTTGAACGCTTTGAGGAAAGGGTTCAAAGGTTTTTGCAGGCAATCTATTTCATTTCGTTATTGTTCGATTTGTGAACGAAAATTTCCCGACATCCGTCCTCTGCGGTCTTAAATTTATTTTGTGCCTGTAATCCCCCCTATTGATGTATGTAGGAATATTTAGCCGCTGATTAATTTCTTTTCAAACTTGATTGCCACTATAAGCTTTATACAAAGCTCAAATCTTTATAAAAAGGATAGAGAATACTTTATAGATTGAACCTGTATTTTTTAAATGTAATGATTGTACAAAATAAACTTACCAACTAAATGATAACTTCTCTGGCTGAGAATCTGAATCGCCTGGATATGATATATGAGGATTTTAAATGTACGCAGATTGAAAAGTGATTAACATTTAAGCTAATTTGAAGTGACATTTTGAAATATATTAAATATTTTCCATCAGACTGATAGAAAAATAACAGTAAATTTAATTCCGTTCTATTTTAGTATACCGTTTAGTTTAATGTTACGGTTGAAAACGTGAAAAGCGTGGAGCAATACCAAGAGAATCCCCAGTCCTGCTTTTCATGAATATCTTGACTTGTCTCATATAGTTACTATCACATGCACGTTATAGTTAGTATCAAATCATATTTTATGGTAACTTGGATGGTCGAAGTGGCTAGAGAGTGTACTGACTCAGCGTCTAGGCCCGAAGAGTCGCGGGTTCGAGTCCCGCCGAGGGCATGCTTGTTTGTCCCTTGTCTTTCATGTGTATTGTCGCGGAAGGCCTTGTGGAAAATGAACTATACTCTACCGGAAGATTAACTAACTTGGCTCCGCTATCGCTCCACCTGATAGTTTATCTTCCGGCCTCGTCCTTAATGACTAATTTAGAGAACTTGTTATATAAATAACTATTACGGTACCAAGATAAGTCTCACTTTGACCGACATAGATGTATGAATTATTACGAATAGCGAGAGTCTTGCCATGGTTGGTGTAGCGTATCTTGTTTCTATGTACTTTCCCAAGTCCTTCATTTATTTTTTTGAGCTGGTTCTTGCGAATCTACGCGCCGTTGCACGCCTATTGGCTTAGACGCCCGATGGGGTGGGGTGGGGTGGGTGTGCGCATGCGCAGGTGATGCACGAAAAGTACGACGCGCGCAAGGCCGGCGCGCCGGGCGCCGGTGGCGAGTACGAGAGCCAGATGGGCTTCGGCTGGTCCAACGGCCTCGTGCTGGACTTCATGGAGCGTTACTCGGACCAGCTGGTGCCCAGCGACGAGCCCGAGGGCGCCGTGCAGCGCGCGCAGGTGCTTCATTGACAATTACTAGAATATTAGTAGCAGTAATAGAAATAATAATTATAATTAATAATAATAATAAATAATAAATAATGCACATTAATATGCATTTGACCATAGTAGAATCATTACCATTGATGAATAATAAAATAAAAATGGTTCACGGGATTGGTCAGTGTGGATAAACAAACAATTAGTTGAACCAACGTTACGAAATATTTAATTTCTTCATCACAAACATTTTGTGGTTAGGGTCTTGGCCCGATTCCCACTTGACGCGCGATGGACCCACGTGCTTCAGCAACTCCATGTGGAGTTGGGTGTGGTGGCTTGAAATGAGACTTGACTTTATGATTATTAGTAAGCCCTGACGAAGAAATTAAATATTTCGAAACTAACTGTTTCTTTAGCCACACTGACCAATCGCGTGACCCAATTTTATTTTTAACAGGCATTTGTTTTTCGACTCTTAAATAACTACTATGTTGTTTATTGATGTAGAATTAATTTATAAGATATATTAATAGTTTTGTAGACTTGCTTTGATGTATATCTGTGTGACTTCTGTCACAACATACAGTCATGGACAAAAGTATTCACCCTGTAGTTATGCTAACTCGAACACGGATCGGAGAGCAGGTTCTGTTCATGGAAACACGATTGAATTGCACGAGAGGAAATAATAAATGTGATGTGACGTGTCGACGCACGTTATGTCCAGAAATAGCGAGTAACTACTCGTAAATCCCACAAAGTACAGTTGCGTCGCTGGAAATGCCTGGACGAACGTATTCGTCCACCTGACGTTCGCGATGGTTTGCGGACTATTTCCGGGAATTATCAGTTCTGCGGCCGCAGTCGTGTCACGAAGTTTGCTCGAGAAGTGTCACAGTGCGGAAGTGCACCAGTGATACGCAATGGGAAGGAAGGGAACGGAAACGTCCGTGTAAGAAAGAAGAATAATATTACGACTTCGCGAAGAAGGAAAAACATTCGCTGACATCCCAAACCTTGTAGGAAGAAGTTCTTCTACAGTGAAAAGTATTGCACGGAGATGTCAGGGTCAAACCACGCTGACCAGGAAGTTAAGAAGCGGCCGCCCCCAGAAGTTATCGGCGCGAGAGCAGAGGTACGTGGTACGTGCCATGAAGAAACAGCCAAAAACAACGTCGTCTGAAGTCACTACCGCAGTGAACAATAACTTCAATCAACAGATTTCGGCACGGACTGTCCGACGAGTTCTCAATCGTGCGGGATATCATGAGCGGGTACCCCGGAAGAAGCTCTATATCAGCAAGCACAACAGAGCAAAACGTCTACTGTTTGCGAAAGAATACGTGGAGAAAGATGCCGACTTCTGAGCGAAGGTTTTATTTTCAGATGAATGTAAATTCAACATCTACGGCAATGGTGGGCAAATGTGGGTGTGGTGCAAGCCATATACGGCACTGGATCCACAACATGTGCGAACCACAGTTAAGCAAGGCGGGGGTAGTGTTATGGTTTGGGGCTGTATGTCGGCCACAGGGGTGAGGGAATTGGTTTTCATAGAAGGAACTGTGGAGGAAGATTCAAGTATCTGCAAATCCTTCGCGACAATCTACAGAAAAGCGCAGACAAGCTAGGTATGACACGTATCTTTTATTTCCAGCACGAGAACAACCTCAAACATACGGCGGAAGTTTTGCGTCTGTGGCTACTATACAATACGCCACACACTTTGAAAACACCCCCGCAGTCGCCGGACGTCAATCTTATTGAACATTTGTGGAGTGAGTTGAAGAAAAGACCGCGCAAGCACCACATCACGAACACACAATAACTGAAAGAAGTCCTGCGAAAAGGATGACAAAAGCTTGACACGAATGTGACACGCACATTGGTGCAATCCATGCCTAAGAGGCTTAAAGCTATTCTACGCAGCAAGGGTAAGCAAAAAAGTACTGAGACAAAATGTAATGGTTAATTTTATAATTTTCAGGGAATGGGCGAATACTTATGTCCATAAACGAATGTCCCTCATGGTTATGTTATGCATTTCTCTTGAATGTCGGATAATATATCTTGCTTTTTGTACTATCAACAGGAGGTATTGATGTATTATTCTCATTTCTGTTGCAAATCCCATGTCCCTGATTCCCTTATTTACTGGCATACAGCTAATTTCACCAACCATTTGCTCTGGACGAATACTTTTGTCCATGACTCTATGTCTATTGTTCGTTAATTCTCAAAATTTTCAAAAAATGACAAACTCTTTTTCGTTTCTTGCAAGTATAATATTGGGTATAGGTACAATAATGAATGATATTGCATACTAACAATATACAATATTAAATGAATTCTGTTACTTAAAATCTGAGTTTTTAATGAGGCCCTGTACAATTTTACCAAAATATGAGTACTATTTGCGTAATTTTCAATGAAATAAAGACAATTATATACACAGTTTTTTTTAAAATGTTTCGAACATTTTCTTTAATTGTTTTGAACATATTCTTAAATATTATAGTCTGTTAAATATTACACAAATGTACGTTGTTGGATTACAATGCGAGGAAGTGTATGCTGTTGTAACTTCACATCTTTTACATAAGTAGTAGATGATCACCGAAGCTCCCAAGAAGTGCTCGGTAATAGTGTCACACACAACAAAACATAAATGTCCACTAGTAATAATACTATATTGTTGAGATTTCCCAAGAATGACTTAAAAAATATTTACGGGGCGGGGAACGTTTAAAAATCTTTAATGATTGTTTTAATTAGTTTAAACAGAATGTCATTTAGTATTAAGTACCAATATCATTAATACATTCCTTTCGATTTATACATTTTAATTTATTAACAGTCTGAAAATGAACCATCTGTCCTATACTTTTCTTAATATTTCGGTTTCCTCTTTACATAAAGCAATAGTTTAAATTTAAACTCTCTGCTCACTTTGCAAAATAAGATTTGTGCAGAGTAGAACGAATTCAGATTATTTATCATGAATTTATACATCCCTTACAGGTGGCGCCCTACAGCAAAATTATCATGGCTGCCATGATCTGGGTGAAGATGAAGGATATCTTGTTAACGATAACGTAACTATAAACGTATCCCTTTCAAGGTAACTACAATAATCTTTTTTGAAAACTTAATTTACCTTTGGAAAAACTTTACACAGTGTTTATTACTGGTTATTTTAATTTTATATAATACGATGTTTAAAATAATCAAATATAAATAAAATAATCTCGAATATAATTGTTATTTACGAAATATATGCATCGTAAGATATAGTACAACACGAGTTTGGGGAATTGGTTTATTACAACACTTGTGCTTTAATGATATTCTTATTAAGAAACTGGTCTGAGCCAGTTTCTCTTCATATAGTAAAAGTGGTAAAAAATTAAAAAAAATGTATTTATAATGTGGTATAAACTGTAGTTTGAGAAGTCCATGTTTACAGTGCCAAAGCATCACCGTGGCATCCCATAACGAACAACCGTATATAATATAATTTTCGAATATTCACGTGGGAGACACCACAGTTATCGTCCATGAAGCAGCCTTAAGTTCCGCCCTGCGATTCTTAGTTTTGATGGACCGCAAACTTATCACCCCAGTTCATTCGTATATTCGTCTGTAGTTGAGTCGCGACACGATTTTATGTCAAAAACATAGTGATGTGTATATAGATTTTTATGCACGTAGGTACAATATCCGTGCTAGAGTTGCAAGTATGCTAAGAGCCAAGCGAATCGACGTTATTCCCCATTCATTGTTGCGCCTCGCCGCAGAAATGTGAACTAGTGCTAACGCCTTTAAGTGGCGATGTCGCTACTACGAAGGCTGACCTCACACACATGTAGATTTTTTCTTTAAGGGTTTGGTGAGTGAGCACGTGCATGCATTTCATTGTAGGGCATGCGCAGGCGAATGAGACTGCCACACATGAATTGTATGGGTCAATAACCAAGGTAAGTCATATTACGTTTGTAGCATGTATGAAGAATGCAGTATTTGAATGTTGTTTGTTCGAATCTTCTGAACCTTACCTCCCCGTAATAGATACAAACAATAGGTACCCGCGACCGTTTGTGAAGTCAATACCCAAATCAGCGGCAGCTGTAATACCACTCACCAATCGTCGCTGTAGTTTGGCTTCTCTTGAGGTTCTGTAAATAATATTTTTTTAAGTTCTAAACACGAGTTCCAAGCCGCAGAAGAGATATAATTACACATTACTTGAATGTTGTTAAGAAAAAGATTGTAAATCAAACTGAA